CCTTCTTCAGAAATTTCTGAAGAAGGGTCCCGACCCGAAACGTCAGCTTTCCTGCTCCTCTGATGCTGCCTGGCCTGCTGCGTTCCTCCAGCTCCACACTGTGTTATCTCAGACTCCAGCATCGGCAGTTCTTACTATCTCTCAATAATGCAAAGGGTCATGTTCATCTGTGCAAATGACTCATTAAGGATATAAGAATGTTTCAATTTGACATTTTTTTTCCCTTTCCATCATTCTGCACCCCAAACCCACATTTTAAATCCAGACCCTGAATGGAAAAATCTGTGGTCAGTCCTCTTCCCACTCCGTTATGATATTGCTTTAACTATTGTGTATGACGTGTCTTGACAAGAACCTCTTTCTGGACTGACCATTATTCAGTATCTCTTTACAGTAGAGAGCCTGAGACAGAAACTAACCTGCTGTAGAGCCACGCACTGGTGCTTCAAGACTATTGTACTTCCTCATGTTCTTCAACATATGGAAGTTGTGGACTTTCAGATGACCTTTTGAAGTAATAATTGCAACATTGCAAAAACCATTATGAAGTAAGCAAACAAATGATACTCTATCTCCTGACTAGCAGAAAGTTATAACAATTTACTTTGAAATGAGAAACATAGGATATAGGATACATAGGGTCTCTCACAGAGACAGGTCATTGAGCCCAATGTATATATTCCTTGAGTTTCATCTTATTCAAACTGTTGTATTTTAGCCTTTCCGAATATCTTTCCTTTTCCTGTTAGTTGCATGTCTATTTTCTTTTTTAGAGTAACTAAGCAATTTGTTTCAACTGCAGAAGTGAGTTCAACATTCTATAACCAGGAAATGTCCACTTATTTTCCTACTGAGTTTCTAATACTTTAGGAAATAATTTCCCCTTTCAGTACAATTGCAGATTCCAGTACAAATGGTGCCCATTTTAAAATGATTCCTCCCCATGAGTATCCACACACACTCATTTACATCTGCGAAATATGTGATCATCAGTGCACACTACAGCAGCATTTTAAAATATTAAAATTTAATTTTACAATTCTCAGAAAAACAATTTGCTCAGAAAATCTTCTGCTGTATATTTATAAGTGATAACATAGTGAAGTTTGATTAAAACAGTATAAAGCAGCTTTATTTAAAAAATGTTTTTTTTTAAAATCATTGTCAGTCGTCAATCTGAGTAAGTGGATTTTAAATGACTGAAATTTGCTTTTAAAAAAGGGTCTGTAGAACTATTTTCTAATTAGGATGCGGTATTAGACTCAATGAATTAAAACATAAATCACATTTAAAAGCTTATAGAATACATTGGTTAGTGTCCAGGGATTCAAATTATTCCAGCTTAATTTTCAATGCATCCCTGAAGGGCCTGCAAATATATATATATAATTAGCAGGTACTCCAAATGGTGATGACCTTGGATGTGGGGGTGGGGGAGGGATGCGTGGTGTGGTGGTGGTGGCGGAATGGAACAGGCTGGTCTGGTCTTTAAACTAGGCCAAACAATTGCCAAATCTCAACTTGCATTCAACGCAAATTATGATCAAGAAACTGCAATATTTAATTTTTTGAATTGTGCTGGAGGAAACTAGTACATTTGATTAGAAATTATAGGTCTTTATACTTATCATTCCTAATTTTGAGTTAATCTCTTCTCAGCTACCCTGTTCAATCCATTCAATTTAAGACCCATGTCAAGTCACTTCCAATTCTTCTATTTATCTGGGAAAAAAAAGCCCTAGCCTGTTTAATTTTTCACAGAAGCACCAATCGCTTAACTCTGTTACCATCCTTGTAAATCATTTTTATACTGTTCCCAGTTCTTCTCTATCATTTTTATACTTGGTAGAGTGCAATCTGACCAGGGACCTGTCTAACTATTTTTCTATTAAGCCAAAATTAAACCAGAAAACTTTGTTTTGCTGAGCCAAGATGCTGCTTTTAATAATTTTCTCATCTATATCCATGGATCCTTTTGCTCTTCCTACCGTCTCAGTTTATTTTGCTTTCAAAGATGGAGGTGGCGTGTATGTTGGCCACCAAAAAGCATCACTTAAATGGAACTTTAACATAAATAATTATTAAACTGCTGTAGTATTTTAAATATTTTTAATGCTAAGGTAGATAGATTCGTGATTATCAAGAGGATGAAAGCGTGTTCAGAATATGCAGGAATGTAGAGCTGAAGTTGAAATCAGATCAGCCACGATCTTTAAAATGGCAAAACAGGCTCAAAGAACCAAGCGGCCTTGTTCCTCATTCATATGTTTGTAGGTAACTGTCCAGTCTGGAACCTCTGTATAGCTGAAACTCTTGTACACACTGTTTAATAGCACTGCAGATAATCTGACAGTGCCCTTGGTAAACTTGACTGTTAAAAGACTACCAACTGAAATGTGACATATGTCCTTCGAACTGAAACGAACTCTAGTCTTTCATTACCCAGCTGCAGACAGCCCTGAATACGGCTTGCCTTGTGTTAAATACAGTACTTTTTTTAGTAACAGTTTCCTTTCATTCACAAATCTGTGGAGCAATATTAGCCCTAGCAATTCCTCATATACTTGTAATCCAAATCGTGATGCCGACTTAAACAAGTAGATTCCTTTCCTGTAAGCTTTGTTCTGGTTTCCTTGGTTGTATAATAGAAGAAAGCAACAAAATATGCCACTTACCAAATCTTTTCCTTGTCCACCAGTGAGGTTCTTTGACTATGGAAAAACTCACTTCCGGATGCAATCTAAGTCTGTTATACAGATCTGTAGTCCCACACTTTGGCTGCCCTATAATATAGAAATAAGGAAGACAGCGGAGGCGGTAGTGTTCATCACCACGGTGTTGCAAGTGTTTCCAAATTACCTTTTTCAAGTAATCAAATATAGTCTGAAAATGTTTTGTGTGTAAAAAATAAGCATTTTTCTTGTAAGGGTCCGTAGATGCAGTCCCTGTATATCTTGTATACCAACAATGGTTCTTCACACTTTGAAGAAAGTTTCTTGGAATGACAGAGAATATCTAAAATATAAAAATAACAGAAGCGTGAAGGAAGTCAATACCTAGCTTTCATTCTAAAACCATTTTGACACCATATTGTTGGCTATTTAATTACATCATTTGATTTACAGAACTGTTGATCATGTGATTTAGAGAAATATTGAACACAATGCCATTGTGAAACCTTGTAAAATATTTTTAAGAAAAATATATTACCCAATATTCTGTTCAGTGTGATTGTTGCAACACCAAACATCACATGCACCAGATTGCAGAAAGCACAAAGAAGCAGAGCATCAGTGTAAAAAAAACTCTTAAGTACAAATCTTGACAAAAGTAAACAGAATGGAAATACTGGCCCTCTCTTGTACCAATGCAATTTGAATAGTGACAGTGTTTGAGAATTTCTACAAATACACATGCCATCAAGAAACATGGCACAACATTCCCCCAAATGAAACCTATTTAGAACTCAATGTTTAACACTCCAACTGTCTGTAGCCTGAAGGTTATGCTGCTCTAATCACACTGGATTATTTTAATTTTGTGCAACAGATTAATAAAAAAAAGCTGATGGCAAACCACCAATCCATTTTACATCTCTCTGGATTTCTATTTCCTCAAAATCGAAAATGAAAACGCATTTGTTGACTGTGCTGGTTCAGTGCCCATGGCTTGTGCCAACATCTTTTCTTAAATAACTGTAATGGGATCAGATGTTAAGTTTTGCATGAAGCTTGTATCTCCCAATTTTGAAATATGCTGTGTGCACACTGTTTGTTATGTGACAGAAAAACGGATCACAGCCAATTTCTATTCCGGTGTCCCTTTCAAACATCAAAGTTTTACCAACAATACTGAACATGTGTCGCTTCAAATTTCTGTTCAAAATGTAATAAGCTAATTTGTTTTGGTTTTGGTTTTGGTTTACGTTTAGCATTACAAATCTCATAGGACCAGTCGAAGAGAAGGGAATACATTCAGTATCCTGTCAGTGTTCCTACCATAATACCATACAAAAAAAAAACAAATAAATTAGCTGGGCACTTGTTTCAAATGGGTGGTAGATGGGTGATCGGCATGGTGGGCTATAGTTGGGTGGGATCAGGTTCGCGAGGTTGAAATGGCCTACTCCTGTTCCTATATTGCTATAATATTCTGGATTGAATAGTTCAGATATTATGATCGATGGATGTTCTTAAACTGTTATGATAAATACACATAACAATTTAAATTTGATTAAACAGATGAGTTTGGAACCATAAAATGGTAGGTTGTGTGAAATACGTGAGCAGCAGTCGAAAGGAAATGGAAGTTGTGCAAAGCCTTTCCTGTTTCACAAAACCACATATAAATGCATGAAATAAGGCTCTCTCTGCCCTATAATCCTACTACTTTCATATATTCCATATCATGCAGCACTGAACCATTAGCATAACTGACTGTATTAATACTCAAAGTCCAATATTTCTAATAATCAAGATGTGGAGGTGCCAGTGTTAGACTGGGGTGGACAAGGTCAGAAATCACACAACACTAGGCTATGGTCCAACAGGTTCATGTGAAAACACAAGCTTTTCACCTGACAAAGCACCCTAGCACTTCACCTGACAAAGGGACTACACTCCAAAAGCTTGTGTTTTCAAATAAACCTGTTGGACTATAACCTGGTGTTGTGTGATTTCTGATCTAATAATCAAACTTAATCCTCAATACTGATTAATAATTTTAAAAACAAATATCAGTATTTAAGAGTGATTAGTTGCCATAACAGTTAAAGGTGCTTTTCAATACCTGAAATGAATGCTGTTTAGTACTAACTATATTCTATTAAAGTCATTCTAACTATTAGCTACATGCAGCAGCTTGTAAAGTTGGTATGTATGGTATTAGTCTAGAAGTCTAGACTACAGCACTGAGACCAAGAATGATGCCAAATAGTATGATTCAATCACTAATGAATATACGAAGTGGAAAATTGTACTACACTATATACTTTTGACTTAATAACCCATCTGAAAGTTGCAAAAACTTGAACATTGTTATGTCTTCAGCAAACAACAAACATATTATAGAAAAATTCATTTCAACTTACATGTGCCTCTTGTTTTACAAGGTCCTCCCGCTCTGGCAGTCTCCTTGGCATGAGCTGAAGTTTGGAATCAGTGCTGAGTTCGCGTGTTGCATAATTGATTCTTTCTAACCAATTAAATGGTAAGGAAAGCCCATCAGCATCACCTTCAATTTCTGTAAGGTCCAATTCTGGAGATTCTTCATTATTTGTGGTTGTACTGTACTGGAATGGGGATGGAGTCAACAATAATTTCTGTTGGTCTCTAGTTAAAATATAAGATACCATAACTAGGCACAATATTATTACTCCCATAAACAGGGTCCCATGTTTGGCTTTCCAAGCAAAGATATGTCTACTCCATCCAAACCTGCGCTCTCCTTTGACCTCCAGTGTTGCAAGTAAATTCATTGGCTGCTGCTCACCTTCATTAAATAGTCGAGGCAGCTTTTGAAAGTCTTTACTAAAAGTAAAAGTAGCAAATTTATTTTCTGTGTGATCAGTCACTGAACGCATTTTACTGTCATGTATCTTGTTGTAGTGACGCAAACGTATACAGCAATTGGGCATTAAATAACTACATCTTCAATTGATGTCCTGGACTAATTTCTTTTGACGCTCTTACAACATTGAAAAAAAGTCAACCTCAGTTGAGGAGTGGCTTAGCACAATCTTGCTCTTAAGCTGTGAAGACACGCTTCTGATGTCAGTTAGTGGAGATAATTAGTCTGCCTTTAAACATACCTACAGAAAGGAAAGAAACATGAAATTAATACAAGTTGTGTGACCTTTTTACATAATTAACCTTCAGTTATTAAAAATACCCAAAAGCACATCACATAGATCCATCTATTAACATTACAGCAATCATTATGTTCTCAGGACAGGAACGATTTACCATATAGAATATAATGTATTCTTCTACTGAAAAGAATATGCTTGATTCCTAAGGATATAAACAAGGCATTTTGATTTTGCGCTAAACTTTTGTTTTGGTTAGTAGGAGAATTTTTCAACTTTCCAAATAGCTGCTTCTTTCTTTTAAAAAATATGGATTAAATATTATGAGTTTACATTCAAGCTAATCCACTGAAAGAAAGTTGCCTAAAACAAATTTCCCTACAATTGTGACACAGAAGAATGATACTGCTTCATTTTTAAAAAAAAATCTAATTGGCAAGATCAATTAAGCAGCAGTGACAAATCTTTTTTTTCTGAGATATTATTGATTTGAGGAACTTTGCAGTCCATTGCAAATTATTGCCTTAGTGGCTTCAACTTGTTCAGAGGGATTTAGCATTTAACTGTACTCCTATCACCATTAAAAGTAGCCTATACTGTTCACAGCAAATCAGCAGAAGACAACATTTCTCAACACCAAAAACAAAGCTTTATCCTGTTTACACAACATAATTCTGTGCTCCATTGAAGATCCAAAATCCCATTGAAAGTAAAAGCTTAAGAACCTATTCAAGTCAATTAAGAAACTGCAGACTCCACAGAATGGTGTTTCCTGGTGCTGGGCAACTAGTACATTCTAAACTTAATGATTTATTGCTGTAAATAATGTTATTCCACGTGTGACATAGAAACTTGCAATGTTATGTAACACCTGAAGTATAACAGAAAAATAAAACATATGAAATTAAAACAGAAAATGCTAAAAATATTCAACAAGACTTGCATCATCTGTGAAGTGAGAACATTAGAACATGAGAACTAGGAGCTGGAGTAGGCAATTCATCCCCTCGAGTCTGCTCTGCCATTTGATGCAATCACGGTTGATCTCATCTCAGCCTTAACTCTTAATTTTCTGCCCACTCTCCATAACCCCTTAACTCATTACGAATTAAAAATCTGTCTATCTCTTCAAAATTTATTCAGATCCCCAGCACTCTGGGGTAGAGAATGCCACAGATACATGAGAGGGGGAATTCTTCCTTATTTCTGTTTTAAATCTGCCACCCCTTAGCCTAAAACTACAATCTCTCATTTTAGATTGCCCCACTAGGGAAAACATCTGCTCTACATCGTCAATCCTGTTTAGCATCTTATATATCTTAACTTTACTTGCAATGGAGGTGGAAGTGTTTGGGTGTTCTGGAGTGGGCTCTTCCTGCACCAGGCAGGATTGCAGAAAGGTCCCGCACCACTCTTCTAACCCTGGGACATGGATGGTGCTACCCCCAGAAAAAACAAGGACCAGCTTTCAGACCACAAGCTTCTCACCAGAATTGGCAAAGATTAGAGAGCAAGACAGAGATGGAGATTAGAGCAACAATATCCTTCAAACATTGGGTGGAATTTGGTGCACCCCTGACCCAGTCAGAAGCAGGTTCAGAGGCAAGAGTGATTGTGTGATCGGGCAGGAAAGTGTAGGGTGAAGGGCTTCCTGTCCAGAGCCCAACTGAGGCACTTAACCAGTGGTTAGGGAAGGAGGCCCTTAAGTCCAGGGACCTGCTGGGAACACTCTGGCAGATAAACCCAGGAGCAGATGTCAGTCGGTTTATGGCAGCGGGGGGGGGGGGGGGGGTGGGGCATCTTCCTCGCTGAGCAATTTATGCCACAGCTATAAACAGAAAGGAAGGATGTGGAGTAGGATACACCTATTTCCAAGTCAATCCCTCATGCATGGATACATGCTCATTTGGGAAAGAATCACATTGGCCATCTTTGGAAAGGCCACAGTGTGGTTGCCGTTGGTTTTTTGCCTGTTAATTCTGTTTTTCCACTTTGCATAAATGCTGCCTTACCTGCTGAGAATTTCGAACATTTTCTGTTTTTATTTCAGATTTTCATCATCTGCCACATTTTGCTTTTGTTGTGAGTATACGACAGGAAGTAGAATCACCAAAAATTTCTCCAAAGATCCTCAGACAGCACCTTCCAAACCCATCACCATTTCCATCTAGAAGGACAAGGGCAGCAGATACATGGGAACAACACCACCAGCAAGTTCCCTCCAAGCCACTCACTATCCTGATTTGGAAATATTTCACCTTTCCTTCACTGGGTCAAAATCCTGGAATTCCCTCGCTAAGGGCATTCTGGGTCAACTTACAGCATGTTGACTGCAGCAAATCAAGAAGGTAGCACACCACTGCCTTCTCAAGGGCAACTAGGGACGAGCAGCAACAGCCATGTCCACGAGTGAATAATAATAAAAAAAAGAACACCTAATCTCCTATCTCATTGTTATCAGCAATAAGACCACAAGAAATAGGAACAGTAGTAAGCTATTTGACCACTTAAGCCTGCTCTGATTCAATAGAATTATGGCTGATCCTAGACTCATGTCCACTTTCTTGCCCTTTCCCATTACTCTCAATTCCGCGACTGATCAAGAACCTATCTTAAACTTAATTATATACAAGGACTCTGCCCCCACAGATCTCTGTGGCAAGGAATTCTAAAGACTATCAACCCTCAAAGAAGAAATTCCTCCTTATCACTGTCTTAATTTGGGACACCTTTATTCTGAGACTATACCCTTTGCTCCTAGAAGCTTCCTCTCAGCGTCTACCCTGTAAAGACCCTTAAGAATCATTTATGTTTCCATGAGGTGAGTAGAGTCACAATCTGTTTACCCTTCGTCCATAGGACAATCACTCCACACCTGGAATCATCCTAGTGAATCTTCTTTGAAATGCCTTCAATGAAATAAGATCTTTCTTTATATAAAAGTGGACCAAAGCTGCTCATAGTACTCCAGATGTGGTCACATCACATCTTGTACAGTTACAGTAAGACTTCCCTACTCTTCTACTCCAACCCCCTTGAAACAAGGGTCAACATTCCACTAGTCTTCCTGATTACCTGCTGCATTTATGTGCTAGCTTTCTGTGCTTTGTGCACAAGTTCCCTGATGTTGCAGCTTCTATAAATTTTCTCCATTTAAATAATAATGTGTTCTTCTGTTGTCCATTCCAAACAACTTGGCAAGGTGATGGCCAAGTGGTATTATTGCTAGACTGTTAATGCAGAGACCTGGTAATGTTCTGGAGACCCAATTTCGAATCCTGCCATGGCAATTCGAATTTAATAAATATCTGGAATTAGCAGTCTAATGATGATGACAATGAAACTATTGCCAATTGTCAGAAAAGCCCATCTGGTTCGTTAATGTCTTTTAGGTAAGGAAACGGCCATCCTTACCCTGGTCTGGCCTACTCTACTATGACTCTAGATCCACAGCAATGTGGCTGACACTTAACTGCCTTCTGGGCAATTGAGGATGGGTAATAAATACTGGCCTGATCAGTGATGCCAGATTCCGTGAATGAAAAAAAAACTTACTTTCCCACGCCATACTCCATTGCGGTCTTTTTGCCCACTTACATAGCCTATCAAAACCTCTCTGTAAACTGCTGTATTCCTCTCACAACCCGCCTTTCCATCTATCTTTGTCTCTTCTGCAAATTTGCCTATAGTACTTTTGCTTCTTCCTCCAAATCTTCAGTGTCTGTGTTGTCTCATGAGTTAATTACTATTCAGGCTAGATAGCAGAACCGTGTACAATCAAATTCAAATATGAGAGTGTGCAGACACTACGTTAGAATTTTGCTGTCCAACACAATCTAATCTAACACAACAGCAAGACAATATCAGACTTCAAATCCAAACTTCCGATTACTCTTTATCAAAGCAAACCATGAGGAGCCCAACTTCCAGCTCCCTGACTATTCAAGGAGGACAGGCTGAAAGATGTAACTATTTTGTCAGGTTTCTGTTGAGAAAACCCATGGCATATTTAAAAACAAAAGCCCAGCAGCACTTGTATTTTTTAAGCTCCAGCACTTACAGGAATGGGAAGATGCCTAGTGGGGTTCTCAAGTTTAACTGGAGGGCCAGCAGTGAGGTGCCCTGAGGAAGGAAGGAAGAGGACTGCTTCATCAAGCAAACACCCTGGAACTGGCCAGAAGTGTCAGCAGCCAGAGTAGGTTCCCTCCAATCAGGGCACCTCAAGGAGGTGGACAAATGAATGGCATAACTCCTACAGGAGCCAAGCACCATGCTCCAAACACCTGTTTCACCTCCCTGCTAACACCATACATGCCCATCTCCCTCTGCCAGCTGCTGGTTGCCCTCTCAGACCCAGGCCACAGTGCATTTGTCCACAAATGGTGTTGCACCAGACTGCTAAAATAGCCAAGGGCAATCCTACAACAGATATGCTGGTGTTATTTAACCAAATGGCTCTTAGTCAATAGGCTGTAATGTTGTCAGTTGATGATATAACACTTGCCGACATGAAACCTAGCTAAACCTAAATTTGTAAACTAAAACCATGGTTAGACAATGGCTTAGAAAAAGTGGAAAAGCAACATAATCTTAACATCTTCTTGTCCCATCCAATAAAAGACAGTAACAGTGGGTGCTGAAAACCAAACATTTAGTGATAGAAATTCAACACAGCAACTATATCCATAACAGGTCAAAGTAAACTTTATTTGAAGCAATTCAGAGTAATGTGAAGTTAACGCCAGCAAATGTAAAAACATCAAAATATAGACGTTAGTTTAAAAAAAACACCATCATTAATACAACAAAGACAATGTTCTTTATACTCGTGGAGCAGTTGAAAGATAATGCTTCATTAAAACATTGAAAGATTGCCCTGGTATTTAAGAATTGTCAAAAATATTGATTTGGGGAATTTAGACAAGTTACATCAACTACCATAGAAACTTTTATTTCACAGTCTTAGGAGTTGCCACATGTCCCATTCACGTATATACACTTTAA